AACTGGGATATTCTGTTGGGTAAATCAGCCATTTATTTCGAGTTGTGGTTTAGGGGTTTGGGTTATGGGGATCCGTAGTGCAGATATTTGATACTAGGGTAGTGGCTGGTAAGGCAAGATACAGAGCGAAATGATGCATGTGTACGGGTTCAAGAAAGGATGAGTGTATCCATGGCAGGCGGCCGTTGGTCATAGAAATTTATTAAGGTCTGGATTTGATTGTCAAAGTGCCAGTTTGATGTATGGATTGTTATCTGAACTCCGGGAAGGGAAACAGATGTTTTGGCGGCCAATTTCAGAGTCGGAATGGGTATTCTCGCATGGGACTTATTTAGTGGAGAATAGGAGTTAGGATTACTGTCAACGTGTTCTAAGTTATTGGTGACTCCTCTGTGTTTCAACCATGAGATTGGGGTATTTCGAGGTAACAAGTTATACGAAAGGGGGATCAATGGTCATAACAAGATGTTGTGAGAGTCTGAGATGGTGCTTAGTGGTATACGAGTGTGACACTATGAGTGGAAGATCAATGGGTGAGCCAAGACATCATGGGATTTTGGGATGTTGTATCTGGGTATCGAAGGAAGATGCCCTAGATTGTTGGATCAATATGAGATATGGGTTTTTCAGATGGCAAGTGGAAAACCGGGAAACTATGTTTTCGAGTAAGAGGTCATTAGTTAGTTGTCGCCAGATGGAGACTGTCCTGGGGTGTAACTATGCTGAGAAAAGGTGCCTTGCCTATGAGAAGTCTCATTGAGAGTAGTGATGCGTAATCTGGGTAGGTGTGCGCACCTATCTACGTTGGGCTGCGGAGTATGAGTTTGTATACATAGAATGGTGATGACCTGAGGATGAGTTTGTGGGGTGATAAGAGAAAGTGTTGCAAGACTATAAGGAGCCGTAGCACCCATGAGTCTATAATAATCGGGGGGGGGGGGGAATAGTATTCAGTAGTCAGTGAGAGAATGTTGTGATACTGCGGGGAGCCATAGTATTCACTAGTTAGCGAGAGGGAGTCGTGATACTACGAGGAGCCGTAGTATTCACTAGTTAGCAAGAAGGAGCCATGATACTACGAGGAGCCGTAGTATTCACTAGTCAGCGAGAAGGAGTCGTGATACTGCGCGAAGCTGTAGTACTCACTAGTCAGCGAGCGAGTGTTGTGATACTACGAGGAGCCATATTATTCGCTATTAAGAGCATGCCGCTGAGGTGTTCATAGGCTTATGTAGCCTTACCAAATGAGTCATCGGGAACTTAGTAGCTACCCCAGGGGCGAGACTGGGGTCTCTATGATGGTCAGGAATTGTTATATCCCGAGTTGAGGAGGGATTATTGCAATCGGAAGAAATTAGATAGATGGTGTGCGCATGAGTTCGCGAATCTCGGGTCATGAGTTGAGTATCAAATTGGAGGTGAGTGGTTCCAATTTTTGCTATTGAATCAAACTCTCGAGCTTGAGTTTGGATCAATTTGTGTATTGAGTAGTCAGGATGAGATTCCAGATTCATAGATGGGTTTCATAATGAGGGGTATTGATTTCCATCTGATGTATTAGACATGAGTGGGTCAGTTCATTGGTATGGGAAGGACCGCGAGACTCTTGGAACCGATGAGTAGTAGAAGACAGAGGTCGGAGGTGAGGCGACTTTAGATGGGGTTATAGTGTTCGCTGGAGGTAAGGTGAACTTCATGACTTGTGTGTCACGATGGGTCGAGATAGTTTTTATGAGAGGAAATCCTGTAAAGTCATTTTATTGGGTGTGCAATGGATAGTCCTTGGAGGTTCATCTGTTTGGTCGGGAGCCGACCTGGTGCTCTGTGTTGGAAGGGATATGTGACAGCAGGTTGGGGATTATGTTCTTAGAGGCCCGAGGGTCATGCTAAGTGGGCAGAATCATTTATTGTGCTTGAGAATAGGGTATTGAGGTTCATTTTGTTCAGGTGGGTTCTAATAGTAGTGTAGTTGATGGGTCCCTGGTGGGATGTGACCCTTTTCATTCTATGGAGTACGATATGGATCGACTGTTGTGTCAAGATGTGTTGTAAAACTCGTTGAGTTGTCCGAATACTCCTCCGAGTAGTCGCTACCCGACCCTGTACCGAGGCGACTTGCAGAATCCAAAGTACTCCCCGATCGGCCTCTTATTGAACTAAGTAGTGTTGTAAAACCTGGTCGACTCAGCGATTAATATGTATAAAATGATTTATTATTTAACACATATACACATGATTATTACTACATATATATATATATATATATATATATATATATATATATATATCATAAATTTTCAACAATTATTCATGAACTAAGATCATTATGCGTTTTTCTATTTTTGTGTATTCACATGTATCTAATTTTGTTATATATTTCAATCAAGTTTTGATTTTAGCTTATGATTTTGACATATATAATTTCCCTAAAAATATTTCTACATGAATTACCGAATCCTAGTACTCCCCAAGTATTCCCGAGTACTCGTTACTCGGTAGTTGGCCGAATAGGTAACGAGTAACGAGTTTTACAACCTTGATGTCAGGTATGAGTGATCTGAAGTTGTTATGGTCATCAGTCGCATCAAGATAGTCACAATTGGAAGTATGATTTTGAGACCGACCATTCGATGAGCGAATGACTTGATGATATCTTGCATGAACGGTCGTGCAGGGAGTCAGACTACTAGAGTTTCTAGGTTTGGAAGAGTCAGAACTGGAGCCGCAACGACAGAGGGATCCTTCTGTTTTGGGATAGGGAGTTCCTATATGGGTTCAGGCATCTTGGGAAAAAGACTGTTGCATGGAATGATTTGGAAATGGTGCTATTGGGGGATACTCACGTTGGTGACCATTTGAGGATGAAGGAGGTGTGCCTAGTTAAGGTGTAGTGGGAGCACGACAAAGGATCCAAGTAGACTTGGGAGCCAGAGTCCGAGATGTGGGAGCAATACCCTAAGTTGTTTCCGGAGGATGACTTTGAGGGTGAAGTATGATTCTAGTGGGGGAGAGTTGTTACATCCCGACTCTCAAGTATTATAGTCATATATTTATTTTTGGGATTTAATGGGTGACTCAACGAGTTGTGTGTCCGACTCGTCGAGTAGAGTTGAATGGAGCATGTGGGTTTAACGACCGACTCGACAAGTTAGAGAGCCAACTCGCCGAGTTGGCGCTGTGAGATGAAACCCTAAATCTCTAGGGTTGGTATATATTTAAAGGAGCTTATGTCCTCCTTTTCGCCACACCAGCTACCCAACTCCCCTGTGTGAAACCCTAATCGACCATTTGAACTAAGAGAGAGTGATAGAGCTAATATTTGAGTGTTTTGGTGAATCATTGGAAGAGAAGAAGTGAGATTCAAGCAATGACGGAGGAAAGACTGTGAGATCCAATATTCATTCACTTGGAGCTTCTGTTAGAGTGTAAAAGTCATCACCTTGCTCACTTGTTGTTTAGATCTTGTCAATAAGGAGCTTTTGGGGCTTTTTCCATATTTCCATGAGACTTTGTATGACTTGTGATTGCCAAGCATTGAGACAACAGATTTGGACCTTGTGAGGTCCATAGAGTCCAGAGGTCCTAACTTTATCTAGCCATCAAAGAGTTATTGTGCTTTAACACCTTAGTTAGAGCTTATATCGGCATTATGGAGCAAATATTCCATGCATGAACTTAATGATTGAACTTTACATAAGATTCAAACCTTAGGAGGAAGATATAGAGTTTGGAATGGTAGATATGCCTTAAAACATTTGAATGAGAATTTGACTTAGGGACTCGACGAGTCAATGAGCTGACACGACGATTCAACTAATGTTTTCCCCGATGAGTTTGGACATGGGTAACTCGATGAGTTGATGAGATAACTCAACGAGTTAAGTTGGGTGTTTGCGATGTTCTGAAGGAACAAGGAGGACTCAGCGAGTCACATAGATGCACTCGGCGAGTCAGGTCAATTTGGACAGTTGACTCGAGTGTTGACTTTTGTTGACTTTAGGGTTTGGTCACCATTCCAAGAGTTGAGAGAGAGAATAACTTATTCACTTAGAGTCATAACTTAAATGTTAATTAGAGATAATTGTCTTATGTGATTAGGCGGAGGCTAGTTCGAGATTCGTGTACGTGATTATTTACTTGCTTGCTTACGAGGTGAGTCTTCTCACTATACTTTACCTAGAATGGTAATCTTTGTGTGACTGAAGGGTCTTATGTGTTATATTGAGTATTGTGATATCCTGCATTATGCCTTTGTGATTTGTGTTGTGTATTATTCTTAGCCTACTGAGTTAGGACCAGAGGGTCCACCCGAGTAGTGGGACTGGAGGGTCCCATTAAGACACATGACCAGAGGTTCCATATTGATATTTAGCCATGAGAGGCTAATGAAATGTGTGTGGTATTTTGGGGAACTCACTAAGCTTCGTTCCTACCGTGTTACGTGTTATGTGTTTCAGGTACCTCTCAAGATCACGGAAAGGCACCGACTTGATTGTACACACTGATTCGAAATTACGTGGATGATTTTGGGATAGTGACATTTTTAAGTGGATTTTTGTTGACACTTGAGACCATTATGATTTTGAGATATATTATGAGTTTTTATGTTTTTTAAAAATGAAAATTTTTGTTTGAAAATTTACGTTGTTACACGATCAGAAGAAGGAAAATGCTATTCACTGTCAATCACTTAAAATACCCAGTCTCTACCATATTTATGCCTTTTCTCATCCATTCTTTCATTTTGAGTTGATTTCTGTCGTCTTCATAAGTTCTTCGTCATATCCAATCCTCACCTTCTACTATGTTTCGTTGTTATATTCGGCATCTGAACGGTTGACATTGTTGCTGTTGTGGATTTGGGACTTCTGATTTCTCTCTACTGGTGTTCATCGTTTTGAAATTCGGTATGTTTATTGTGGTCTGTAGTTGATTTTGAAATAACTTCTTACATAGAGGTGACTCCGTTTGTCTTTAGGGTTATTTCACTTATTCCTTTATTAATATAAGCCATGCATCTTCAAAGCCATAACTTTGACGCCATCAACACCGTGCTTGTCAGCCAATGAGGTATTCCCACCACCCTCTTTTTCTATACCCTGTATAGATAATTGATTTGTCCCAAATCTATATTTTCAATTTTCTTTTATCTTCTATTCTCAAGAGGGGATTTAGGTTCGTTGGATCATGAAAATGACTTCCAAAATTATAGGTTCGTTTGGTTTAATTTTTTTTAATATTTGGTCTTGGAATTGTCTATATACGTTTGTTTGTAAAGTATTTGTCTTTCTTCACCATGTCTCTCCAATTGAAAGGTGTTCGATGTAGCCAATACCCGGACATGAATTTGGAGCAACCATTTTTTTTAGTCAAATTGTACGTTTTCATGGTGAATTTCTCTACACTTTCTTAAACCCACAAGCAAGCTTTACAGGTAACTTACCTATATGTTTTTGTGCTTTCTTTTTTGTTGTTTACAGTAAACAAGTGGAGTGAAGGCTTCAAGAGTATTCTTTTCAACTACTTTTGCTTATTTTTAATAGTTAATATCGTTTACAACTATATAAACATTTTTTCCATCAGCATTCTAACTCATTTGTACATATTCATTGTATATGAATATTATTTGTTATTTATCTGTTATCATGTGTGTATATTTTCATATATAGGAGCATACCAAAGTTTAGTTAACTTAAACTTGATGATGTATGTATAATTTGAATAATATATTATTTTAACGATTTAACAAATATCTTAAATTTTACATAGCAAGCAAAATTCTAGAAACTCTTAGAGATTTAATAAAGAAAAAAAATTATAATTTGTAAATCAAATTAGATTTTACATTTATTGTATGATTTTACGTACATGTGACAAATTCGATATTTAGGGCAGGCAGATTTATAGCTCAAATAGAATTGAGTCAAACATAATAAATTAAAAAGAAATAAACAAAAAGGTATGTGCGTATGTGATGAGTTTTGGAATCGAGTTTGAATGTAATTCTAGAAGTAATTGAGTAAAGAATTGAAACGATGAACACGAGAGTAAATATAATCTTTGATCAGCTCATATTATGCTTTTTAATTTATAGAATACAATGAATAAACTGTAAAACTGTGTGTGAAAATTATTCCTAGATCACTAGAACATACCCTTATTTATAGAAGAACAAAAGAATAACAAAATACTAAGGACTAAACGTTACGGTTTCACATTATAACGCCTTAGTAAAATAACTATATATACGAAGACCCATACATACAAAGACAGTAAGATACTTCGTAACAAACAAACTGACTCTTCGACTTATTACAACATTTTAGCCCTAACAATCTCCCCCTTTGGAATCAAGGTCGAAGTCATCAAGTAGCCAGTGCTTGAACGGCATACATCAGCACTCTTCGGATCTCCGTATACCAAGAAATAACCTTCTTTATCTCTTTCTTGTCTCCTTCAGAGTTTTTCTTGCAGTTGTTCATATGAACAATTAAGTTCGTATACTGAGAATTGATGTATCTCTCCACTTCACAGGTTTGGAACAAAAATCGTTTAGCTCTTCCAGCTTTATCCTTCCCAGTAAAAAGTATCCCCAATGGTTTTAAGCAACCTTCACCATCTTCATACTTGTTCAACTCATTTTGCTTCTTTGTTGGTGCCATTGGTGCAGTTATGTCAATTCCTTTCACTATTGCAAGTTCCACATCTGTTTGAGCCAAGCACTCGAAGTAATTTTCCAAGTATATTTTTATGTGATTGCACCCAAGGCTAAAAACATCAGGCTTAGTATCTTTCAGAAATGAAAATGATTTGTCTTTAAGCATCAGGGCGACATTGATGAGATCATAAGTGTTCATCAAAGGAAAATTTGGCATCGTAAATTCTTGAATTTTTCCACTTGCCCTTGCAACAATGTATTTAACATTTTCAAACTTCCCTTTGAAAATGACATCTCTTTTGATAGATATCACTTTTCTTATCTTCTCCAAAAACCAAACTTCTTCCTGAGCCTTTGCCAACACAGCATGAAACCTTATTTTCATCTTCTTTCCCTCTTCTGTTTCCATTGTCTTTGACTCAGCTTTAAATTGTGGCATGACAAACATCATCTCGTTGATTGGGAAATCAAGCTGAGAAAAATCAATGTTTGTCACCACGTAGCTTTTCTTTGGGATCTTTTCAAACGAATACATATGATCAAACATCACCCTGGATTCAATGGTTTCGTAATTATACACTTTTAATGGATCACCCTTATCAACATTTGAACCTTCCAGAGCCCTTTGTCTCATTATGCTCTGTACATGTCTCATTTTTTTCTACTTCAGCTGCCACTTCTGCTTTCTTCTCTTCTTTGGACTTTTCAATCAGTATCTCTTTGCCCTTGTCCCTTATTTTTGATAGATCAACTTTTTCTGAAGAAGATCCACCTGTTTGCTTTCCAATAACAACTCCCTTTGAAATTGGTTCAGGAATTGGAACTGTTGTGATCACAGCTGAAGTAACTGGACCAGCAGAAACAACAGTTGCCTTTGCCACCACCTTCGAAGGGTATATCTTTCCAACTACCTTCGCATCTTCTGTAGTTGTCTTCATCCCTTCGCAACTTTTTGCTTGTTCCCCAGCCTTTATTTGTTCTGTTTTTTCTCCCCCTTGCACCCTTGTGAAAGCAGGTGGGGCATCTGAGACTGTTGGTAAAAGGCTGGAAATGCGAAGCAGCGGAATTAGATTCTTGTGTAAAATGGCTTCGAAATGGGAAAACTTCTGTGAAAGAAATTCTTGGGAAATTATCGGAGAGACAGAATTCGAAGAGAAGGCTTTTAATTCTTTCAATAAACCGACCAACTCTCCAAAGTTTTGTTCTTCTTTGGCAGAAAGAGATGTCAGCGTTGCATTCATTTGTTCGAAGAGTTTGACACATCTGGTGACAACATCACAGATGATATCAATTTTCTGATTAGCCAAAGCATAATCCTATTGTACGATTTGAACTTCCTTTTGCATTTCTTCACGAAGTTCTCTGATTTGTGGATTCACATCCTCCCTTACCTTTTTAACTTCTTGTACGAAGAGCACATTACGCTCCTTCGTAACCATCTTCAAATCCTTCACTTCTCGTACAAAATCAACATTCTGAGAATTAATTCGATTCTCAGTAGAAGCATGATTTTGATCAATTTTTTCAAGAACTCTACTTTTTGAATCTCGAATTAATCCAGAAGCCTTCGAAATTACGCGCCCTTCCATCAATTTCATGAATGAATCAACCTCCAAACTCGTCACCCCAACACTACCGACATGTGCTTGTGATTGCAAGATTGAATTTAATTTTGAATTCAAAATCTTGAACTGCTTCATCGTCATCAGCATGTAGTCTGGAAAATCTTCTTTGGAAGTATCAAAGTGAAGAGCTTCGAATGTTCCTCCAAAGCCTTCGTTGTCAGTTCCAGCATCAGTAGCCATGGTTTCATCAACAGGGGACGATGGGTTCGTTGGATCAGTAGATTGAGTAGAAAAAATTGTAGTGTACGGTTGATCCATGATAGATTAAAAAGTTGGAGAATCAGTAGTTGATGTAACCTGGGGTAGAGAGATAACAAGACCTCGTTCAACGGGTCTCGAATCAGCAGGCTTTGAAATAGTAATAGGTGGACAGATCTTTGTTGCTTCTGGAATATGGACTTCAGGTGTTTTAAGAACTTTCTCTTCTTCCTCAGTCCTTTGGTTCTTCTTAATAAACTTGACAAGATCCTCAGCCCTTCGCTTTTTCGACGATGGAGAAATAGGGACTGGAATTTCACGAACCATCACACCCTGATGTGTGATTTGAGTTTTCTGAACAATCTGAGACGAAGATTTTCGCTTAAATTTGATTCAGCGAAAAACCCCCGTCTTTGATGGAATTATCTCTTTTTCCTGAGAAGCTTCGATTGTTGGTGTAGCAACAACAGTCGTCGAAATGGGAGAAATAATCTGTTGAGAACTTTCTTCGACTGAAGCTGGTTTGACTGTAGGAGATTTCTTCTTCTTCTCAACCTTCACTTTCGTTTTCGAAGATCCAACATCTGTCTTCTTCGAATTCTTTGATTTCTTCACTTCTGCATCAAATAAAACACCACTAACAACGGTTGTGTCAATTGACTGCATATATGACACCAAGACGTTATTTGTTGGATCCACCTTTTTGAGCATCACATCTGGAATACGAGCAACAAATGTAAAAATTGCAGGATCATCAACAACCTCCTTTGGACTGCCATACATATGGAAAACAACTTTTTATTCATCTTCAGGAACTGCAATCCTCTCCTTGGAATAAACATACTGATGAATAAGACTCCAATATCTGTCACATGAAATCCCTTGCCTGACATTGTGTAAGTCCCTAATCTGCCTGTGTATCAATCAAATCCGTTTGATGGTGCGGAATCCCAATCAAACGGATGATGTCAGATCAAATAGAAGAGAAGGAGAAGAAGAATAATATGAATCTCTGTATGAATTGATTAGAATTAAAGTTCTAGATACAAAAGATTCACACACAAAATGCTCTCTAGTTTCTCTCTTCTCTCTGGCCGTAAACTTCTTAGGGTTGATCCATCTCTACTCCTCACCCTAACACCTCTATTTATACTTCGAATATGGGCCGGATAACACATGGGCCGTAAATGGGTTTACGGCCGTAAGGTGTTTACGGCCGTAAACTCAACCGTAAACATGGGCCGAAACTCCAGAAATATTACAGAAAAATATAATTTCCCAGAAAAGCAAAGTATAAACCATATTTTGACCCAACAATCTCCCCCTTGGTTTATAGCTTTCTTTTCTTAATGACCCAACAAGCTCCCCCTAAAAAGTAGCTGGCTCTTCTTGTCAATCTTCAATTGGAAATTAGCTTCAACGTTTATCTTCGATGACTTCACAGCTTCAAGATGAACTTGATGAATCTTCAATGAATGACTTTATCTTGAGCAGTTGGGCTTTTCTTCAGAATTTGACATTGAACGCACATTAGGTGAGGAGACTTCTTGTACTGATTCTTGAAAGATGATGCTTTCAGCTTGAGAATCTTCAGAGAAAACATCAGAGAAAACAAATCTTCTGGATCACTTCAGCAGGTACAACGATAGTAGCAGACTGATTGAGGAGGCTTCAATGCAATCCGTTACATAATCTTCAATTTCTGCTTCACCTTGCTTCTGGGGTTGACAGGTTGAATTTGAAAGAATAATCTTCATTTCTTACTCCTTCGAATGTGAATTCTTCGATGCTCACGGACGAGGCTTTGGCTCAAAAATCTTCAACACAAACTCCACGAGTCTTATCTATATCTGAAATCACTTTTCAAGACAAAACAAAACTAAAAGAAAACTTAGCACACAAATTTAAACAGTAACAAAAATATTTTTGGATTTTTTTTAATTTTTCTGAACAAGAAATAAAACACAAATAACACTATTTTTGGATTTTTAATTTTTTATTTTTTTAAAATTTTTTAATTCTCCCCTAATATTTAAATTAGAAGAAACTATGAACAAATTTAACAAAAATAAAATGATATCTAACTTTAAGAGTGATTTGGGATCAAAGTTGTTAGACAATCTTTATCCACTTGTAGGTACTTTTCATATTCACATCTTTGTATGGTCAATCGTCGGTATTGTGGTCCACTTAAACATGAAAAATTATGACAAATTTAGGACATACTATTTGTTACAAGACAGGGTGAACTTAAAATCCTAAAATTTACATATGATCCTAATTCTTTAAATACTATATCTTAAGGACCATTCATCTGACGACGACCAAGGATATTGTTGTCCACCTAAATTGAGCAGCGAGATCTATAGACAATCTGTATGAGTTCAATTTTAAGTGTACTGGAACGTGTTTCCCGCTTCCTGATATGCCCCAGCCATCAAGAACTTCCAGAGTACTCCTTACACCGGGTGAGCAGACAACCATTCAGAGAGAAGATAGATTCAGAATTCTATTACTTATTACTTCAGAGGGGTTGAGAAGAAGAAGGTTACATATGCTGTGTACCAGGTCGGATTAGAAGTCACACAAAGGAGACAACATATGACTAACAGATAAGAAGTATTTCACATGTATAACTTGCAGAGAAATAGAGTTGCATATGTTTCAATCCATGTCGAATCTCTTCCAATCACGCAAATGGTGCAACATATGACTAACAGACGGAAAGAAAGAAAATGATATTCTATAGACCTAATTTATCGGAATTTACCAGTCGCCCCATCCAACCGGAATTAAGGACAGAATCCGCACATCGAGGAAAAGTTAAGCCACGGTTCCAAGTACGGGTTCAATTAATGTGACAAGTAGATTCTCATATATATCTCCCTGCTCAACCTATCCAAGCGTCGTATTGTCAGGCTGAATGGATCTAACTAGGTCAAAATTTGTCAAGTCTATAAATTTCCTAAGTTCAACTCTGCCTAGTCAAGTACATTTAGAATTTTTCGTGCCTACCGACGCATCAAGTCGGAGCATAGACCCTTCAACTTTGGGTACGTTATGCAGACTCAGGTTGCCTATTGTCAGTTGATAATATCACTTCCCAGAATATCTCCCTCAAGAACATATCATAACCAATGTATTTTTGATTTTCTGATTTTCTAATATTTTTGGATTTTTGAAAATTTTCTAATTTTTGTTTTGTTTTTATTTCTCCCCCTAAATTTGTGCATAGGAGAGAAACGAAAGTAAATGCGCAAATTTAAACTATCCTAAAACAAAAATTAGTCTTTAAAGTAAATCAGCTTAAGAAAAACTCAGGAGTATAGAGAAGAAAACGCAAACCGTAATTCACCGATTGAATCTGCATTCAGAAGGTCTAAGAACAGCAAGCATAACCTCAGAACAGATCTGAAAATTCTTCATATCATTAAGCACTAACCCCATTTGTGATCTCTTCCGTTCTTCCTTTCCCGCAAAAGAACACATACTCTCAACAAAGGTCTGAATGTTGTACAATTGAGAGATGTCCCCAATCATATGCCAGGAGCAGCCACTACCAACAAACTGAAGTATGATGATATGCCTCCATAGCTGCTCCAGCACAGAGCGGGATCAGTTGGTCTTTGGAACCCAATCCATTTTGAAACTAGGCCGAACTTTGTCATCCTTGCACGGTACTCTCTCCTATGACATGTCCTGCTTATCATAAACAGAAGATGTAGAAATATTAGAGTCGTTAGTTGATTTGGGAGATTGAACCTTTGGTGCCCATTTGTAGTTGGGTTTAACCCATTTCTTTTTCGATCTGATGGGTAGCTCGACACTTGCTTTTGATGTTGATGTCGGCCGTTGAGATGACTTTGACCTAACTGGTCTTTGTTTCAGTGGAGCATCTCTTGGATTGGGATTCTTCACTGGCATTCCCTTCTTGACTTTGGGATTTTGATTCTTGTCCTTTGGAGTTGAATTCTTGGCCTTCTTGGCATTCCAGTCGTCAATGTCTGATCGTGATCTCAAGGGGTTTCTTTTGGAGTATCTCCCTCTTGGCGCGTTCTTCCATCCTTGTGCATAGTAGGGAACGTATGCATGATTTGGACAATTTCGGGCAATGTGACCAGGTGTTCCACAGTGAAAACAAGTCTTTTTCTTCACTGGGAAGTTGTGTCTTCCTGCCCTTGGTGGCGTATCTTTTCCTTGTTTCTTATTGTCCCCACATGCACACTTGCGACATGCACTCTGTTGCGTTGGGATTGGAGGCCTGTATTTCTCAACGGAAGGTTGATCAGAAGCAGTTGAGTTCGAAGCAACATATTCAGAATTCAAGGAGATGTTGGTTTGTTCAATGGTTTTCTCCTTGTTCTCATCTTCTGCTACTTTACCTACACATGAAGCAGAAACATTAGTATTTTCAACATTAATAACTCCTCCTGACACAAATCCAGCTCGTTTGCCATAACGAAGATGTGGCTCCCTATCAGTTTCGTCCTGTGTCATAGGGATGGATGTGTAGTTATGATTATAAGTAGGAGGTACACTATCATACCCTAGACCCTTGTTTTGATTTTCTTTGAATTTTAATTGAGTTTCATACAAGGACTCGACTGTCTGACTTAACGCAGTATAATTTTTGAAACTGACATCTGTTTTTCCACACTTAATTTTTAAAGTGTCAAGTTCTTCAGTTACAGCAGTAAGCTGTCTCTTAGTATAATCATAATTTTCACACTTGTTGTTATAATCTTCCTGAAACTTCCTAAAGTCCTTGGTTTTTGCTTCTAATTCAGCCTTCAGGGGTTTGTGTCCTTTCCTGAGTTGATATCCTTCATATCTCAGGTCCTCAACTTCTCTTTTTAATAATTTAGTTTGTTCCCGAAGAAATTTAATCGTAGCTTCACAAGCTGGAGTACATGTAACTTCAGTGACCGGAATGTTTTCAGAACTCATTGTTTCTCTACACTTCAAAGCATCAAGTTCTTGAA